CTAAGTTTTTACTCCCGCTATTCTAGATGGCGCGCATGTAGTTTAACCAAGGCATAAAAATGAGACTTTCTGCCGTGGAACCGGGGCCGAAAGTACGTACTTTCGACCGAGGTAGTAAGAAAAATACATTTCTTTATTTTACTTTCTCCCTGCATAACTTCTAAAAGAATGAATTTTTAAAAATAATATTTGGTGGAAAGTTTTATCATATTGGTACTAACTTGTGACATTAATGTCAGCTCTGTATGATCAAGGGCCGATTTCACATGCTTACTCCGCTAGGCCCTTTGTACATTTTTGTTGAAATATTTAATTTTTTGTAGAAATGGTTTTTTTTGTAGAAATATCTACGAAATAGTACCACAAATTACAATGTTCTCAAATAAAGAAATTATTGCAAGTAGTATTTTATAAAAAAACTACAATTTATAAAAAATAGTACAAAGATCTACAAATTTTAAAAATTTAAGAAAAAACAAAATCTTAAAAAATTAAAACATCTGCTTACTTGTAGAATACTACAAAAATTTACAAAAGTGTTCCAATTCTAGCATTTTCATGTAGAATTTTGTAGTACTTCTTAAATTCATGTAGAATTTAATAGATTCTGGCAATTATATTTTATAATTTTTTGTAGTACATTTTTATTTTTTTTTAATTTTTGTAGAAATATTTCCGCCAGGGAATATGCTGTCTCTTTTCAGTGTAGCAACACTGTAATGGAGGGGACCCGGGGGGACGCTCGACATGTTCTCAAATGCCATCTATCGAGAAAAAAAGCAACCGAACGCGACGACGACGACGACGTATCTTAATTATAAAATTTACCATTTCAGACTTTGCATCGTAATATCTCCGCTCGTAGGGCACGTAACGGAAAAATAAAAACACTCTTATTTGTAAATCGACTGAAGCTATCGATCAAGCCTACTTAGAACTTGATCCGTTTACTCGTTATTGAGATCTCAAAATCTCGGGTACTCGCAACTCGTGCGTTCACGTAAAAGAGTCACGGTGCGTCTCGCTCCGCGCGTACTTGGCGCGAGACACTACCGTGTCTCTTGATATTTTTACATAATTTATATAGAAATATAAAATACCCATGCCGAAAAAAGATGTTTTTTGATGTCTTTTGTAAATAATAGATGAAGACATGTATGTTCTTTTTTCCAGTATACCTTAATGCGACCTTGATATTTAATTTACTAATTCCATTCACGCCAAAAATATTGGATATTGTAATTCCGCTGAATGAGTCACGGCCATTGGCATATGTATATCAGGCTGAACATAGAGTGGACAAAGAGAAATATTACTATCCAATCGTATTCCATTCTTATATTACGTGTATCATTGTAGTAGTAATTGTATTTACCGTTGATACTACATATCTAAAGTGTGTATTGCATGCTTGCAGTCTATTTACAGCTATCAGGTGAGTAAAATAAAAAACAAAATTATATTTTTCCAATATCTTTTATAAATGTATTTCTAAGACAGAATTTACTTATTATTGAACGAATAAACTTAGAGACTACATCAGTACAAAAATTGCACGCTAATTTACAACGTTTTATTTCAAAGCCAACGTCTTGAAAATATTACTGGCGAGGCAGACACTATATTAGATGATTACAAAAAAATACATTCAGGGACGCATTATCATTTAGGAATTTTCATGGAGAAAAACAGTTCTGCCGGAAATGATTATAGTGAATTGATGACTTGCTTGAAAAAACATCAACTTGCATTAGAGTCTGTACTACATAAAATTCTGTCGTTCATAGTATATAACAGCGGCTTTAACAATTTTAATAAAGTGCAGATTTAACCGTCCAATCTAACCATTTCTATTAAATCACTCTATCCAATCTCCTTTCTAGACACGCTCAAACGTTGGATTCCATGTTCACTCAAGCGACATTAATTCTTCTATCTCTGAATATGGTGGTATTGAGTGTGATCGGAATACAGGTGAGCATTTAAAAAGTACATGTCTTCCCACTATGAATACTGAGAATAATTTATAACGCAATACTTCAATTTTACAGTTTGTCAATAACCTGACGCAGGGAGAAATAATAAAATACGTTTTTGTAACTTACGGTGTATTTATTCATCTTATATACATGTGTATTCCCGGACAATTGCTGATAGACCGGAGCGGAGAAGTTTTCGACAAAGCGTAAGAATTCGTGTTTTGTATAACTCTTTAAGCATTAGATGCAAAATAGTTTTTTAGTAACGGCAAATCTCTAAACGACTTTCTTTCTAACGTTTATACGTAAAATTGCATATAATTACGAATGACTTATATTGTTGATAATAAATCAATTGTAAGACGCACCTTTTCTGTTAGGTACAGTTCAGAATGGTATACATTTTCCATAAAAAGTAAAAAATTATTGAGAGTACTTCTTTACAGAAGTCTCGCTCCGTGTACACTCACGGCTGGAAAGATGTTCGTTATGTCCACGACTATGTGCAGTTCGGTATGTTTGATTTACATACCTAGAAATAACGTTTTTTACAGTTTTACATAACGGTGTAAGAGATTGACATTCAATTTTAAGGTGATGCGAACTGCCATGTCATATTTCACGGCTTTTTTATCCATAAGATAAGGATATGCGACTGCAAATATATTATGTATATCTTCGCACAATTATATTATCTAGGAAAGTCATTAGCAAAGAAGCAAAAAAAGAAAATAAAGACAGTTTTGTGCTAACATAAAAATTATAAAAAAATTGTAGGTAATACAGTGTTATGCCGCGTCGCCGGTTGGTGACGGCTTACGGCAAAACGTTTATTATTTTCGGGATCTCTTGACCTTACGAGTTGGGACTCGGTAGGCACAGGCGGGCAGACTAGGAAGCGGTCGGGTTCGCAGGTGGAACGGGGATGTAGGCGTCGTTAAATGAACTTCACTTCATTTTACTTTATATTGGAGCTTTATTTCAGCGCCCCTTTTACACTCACTAACTTACATTTGTATTTGCCTTTCACAATTACTATAACTCGCACGCGCTTTGTTATAATGTAAATCTTCGCGACACGACTTACGAGAACGGTCACGGGCAGAGTCTCCGGTGTATTACTCTCCGTCGCGGCTTCTTCGACGATCCCTTATATTGCTTTGAGTTATGCCCTGTCGGCACTTTTCCGCCGGGTTCGCGGTTCCGCGATTGTCGAAATGCGTTGTCGCACATTCTTATGCATATCGCAATAGTTCGATTGACGCGGAAGCTTGATGAACTTCCGCGTCCGCGTCAGCGTAAATTGAGGAGTCTTTCGAAAGACAATTTCCTCGAAGTCTTTCGAAAGGCTATTCTATAATTTTATTATAAATAATTTAATAATTACTCGTTGTAATTTTAGATTACAACAACAGATTTTATAAAAAAATACTTTTTAAAAAAATAAAAAAAAGAGCGCCAAATATCCGCATTCGTCAAAATAGCTATTGTACGAAACAATATATTGTTTTAATCTATTTTTGATATAATGGTACTATCAAACATTGCGCCAACTGAGCATGAGTTTGTACTCATTATAAAAATTCTTTTATCATACTTAATAGAATAGTAAAGTATTTAATGCAAAAGAATTTGTTACTGAGCATGAAAAAATTGTGTTTATTATGACATGTAATTGTCCTATTATTATGCTTATTAAAATAATATTTCGTCCAAAGAAACTTGACGTTGCTAAATAAACATGCACGCATATGTTTCAAATAAGAAAGGAAGCTGTTTCTCTCTATATATGTACAGATAAGGTCTTTTAAATCTATAAGCTACCTCACACATAGGTATATCTCTCTAGGTATATTTATTCACATTTTAAATCAAATTTGATGTTCTTCATTTCCACAAACTTCACACATGTACATAAAACATGAATATTTATATCACATGTGCGTCGAAAATGGCCCATTTCTTGCGCGCCATCTGTACACGAAATAACCAATTGCACACACGAGAAATTTTTCATTATATTTACGCACGTGTGCGGGAAATCTCACTAGAAAAGTACTTCCCACACGACGCATTGCTAACACTCTTCTTACTTTTCTCAATCCGACGCTAGCCACGCTATTGGACGGAGATTTTTATCCAATAGCGTGGTTAGCATCGCCACATCTTCGTCCAATAGCGTGGCTAGCATCGACACACTCGCATGTTCTTAACGACATCTCGCGGCGCACTACGCGAAACACTACGCGTGTTTCCGTGCGCTGCGAGATGTCTACGCGAATTACCACAGCGATACTCAGACATAACCTCAGAAACGCCAGAAACCGAGACCGACTCAATGTAAAATTTCTCGTGTACCCGAAATCGTCGAGGAGTCGCGTAGCGGATGTATATGTGTGTGCACGTGTGTCGCGCGGATTCGCACGCCAGGACGATCGATAAACCGTCCGTCGTCGGGATCGCGTTTTCCGGGAACGAAACGCGAATCGTCGGGAAGCCCGGCACTGTTCCCTCGAGCTACGAGCCGGCGAAAACCTAATCTGCAAAGGCAACTGCGAAACGAAGACGCTTCGAGCCTACGAGCATTTTGACCCAATTCTTATTGGTCAAGACATTGGACTACTGTGCATACGTAATGTTGTTTCACCTTTCTTATTACATCATATTTGCTCCTGTAATAAACGTTACTTTTATCATAGGCGGGGGGAGGGGCTCCGCCCCTCCCCACCTGCGCCCAACTTTTCGACTCGAACCCCCTTACCCGGGGGGGCTTCGCCCCCTTCGTTGGGAGAAATAATCCCCCGCAAGTCCTTCTTTAAGGGCTCGCCTCCTCCTTTTTTGAACTTTAGACGCACTTGTGATATAAAATAATGTGTGTAACACGTGCGAGTTGAGAATTGGACACGAGTGCGGAGTGACGCACGAGCCGAAGGCGAGTCACTCCGCACCCGTGTTTAATTCTCAACTTTCCGCACTTGTTACACAAATAACTATTGTTTAGCAACGCCAAGTTTTTTTGGATGGATTCTGTTACTTTAATAAGCATAATAAAATAAAATAATTGAATGCCATAATAAACACAATTTTTCATGTATAATATACAGTTTTTTTACATTAAATATTTTATTATTCTATTAAGTATGATAAAAAAAATTAAATTTTATAATGTGTATATTATGTATATACTCATGCTAGGTTGGCGCGACATATGACATCACTATTTTAATAGCAAAAATAAATTGTAATAACATTGTTTTGCACAAAAGCTATTTTGATGGGTGCGGATATTTTTGACGCTCTTTTTTACATTTTTTTAAAAAGATATTTTTTATGGTATATCATGCATTTTATAGTATCTAGCGTCTTATAAGTAATGTGTTGATGTTATGTAATATACTATAAGACCCCACACAGCACATAATATTGCAGTAATATTGCAATATAGTGGAAATATTACGTATTACAATGAAATATTTCAGAAATATTACTGATGTATTACACGTTTTTAAATAATATTGAAATATTACAGTAATATTGCTGCAATATATTGTTGAAATATAATACTTTAAGTAGCAAAATGATGGGTAATTGCTCGCCCAGATAGTAACTCATGGGCGGCGCACGCATCGATCGATCGCTCTAGGATTCACACTGACAGACAATCGATAGACAATCGATTGTCGCCGTATCGTTGTACCTTTGTGAGGCGCACGCGCTCTCTATATTCTTTTGCCTCGTGCCGCGAGCACGCCTGTATTACATTCTTATTGGCCTAGTTTACACTGATTTCTTGATACGCGTATCAAATAGTATATTTGAACTGATCAGCCAATAATCAGACTTATTTATTAGTTATTTACTATTTAATACGCGTATCAAGTGATCGATGTAAACTAGGTCATTCTCACTGTGTCTGTAAAGAGAGCCGTCGCCGACTATATCGCAATAAATCATTTTTCATTTCTTTATACGCAAACCGGCCTTGCTTTTTCACAAAATAATGTCAAATGACATTTTAATGACATCTTATTGACGTCATT